GAGTTTTTGGAAGAATTGGAGCAAAAAAAATCTTTTGTAAATATAGTTAATAAAATAAAAAGATTAATATTAGCTAAAAATAGAAAAGATTGGAAAAATGAATAAAAAAATATTATTTAAAGTGATGAATCTCAGTTTAATATATTTAAAGGAGTTAGAAAAAGATATATTTAGAGAAATACTCAAGAAAAATATTATTCACAATGTCTTATTCCTATATTTAAATCAGATTAACAGAGTGTTATAATTTAGGATTATTTTACAAAAAATAAACTAGATCCATTAGTTAGATTAGAAGGTAATATAATAGCAAATATATATATAAATGTGTTAAATAACTATTTATTATCATTTATAAATAGTTTAGAAAATAAAATAATTATATTTTCAAGAAGATAATATTTCTATTTACAAAGCAAATGCAATAAAAAAATGAAAGTAAAAAATAAGATTACAATTTTACCATGGCCTGTATAGAACCTAAATTTAAATTTTATAGAGAATTTATAGGATATATTGGATAGAAAAGTCAGAAAACATAAACTATTACCAAAAAATCAAGATGATTATAGTAGATTTTGCAGAACGAATAGCTAAAACTTGATGAAAAAATATATAAAATTTTGTTAATAATATGCTACATTATATTATTGCTATTATTGAAAATAAAGGTAATCCTACAAAATATTAATAATAAAATTATAAAATATATATTTAAATGATTAATATAAAAAAATTTTATTCAAATTGATACAATAGTTTGTAAATTATCTCAATTTAAAATTTGATATAATTTTTCAAAAATGATCAACATCATAAATACTTAGTGATTTTGATATTCCACTATATATATATACTTCTCCTGTGCTAATATTTTAATAATATCACTAATTATCAAGTTACCATTACTTTACCAATACATTCTTGAAAAAAGTAACAAATCTTTCATCAAATAACTATATAGTTATGTGCAAATTATCAATCACATTCTTTAATCACTATTTTACTGATTTTGCATCTTCTTAATTATGATTATTGACTTTTATTAGTTTATGTAATTCAGGTTAGTGTAAATCTGTTATACTAAATGTAAAGAATATTAATTTTAAATTTTGATTTATTTAATCATATCTATTAGTTCCTTCGTTATATCATCTAAAATTAACATATTATGCTTAATCCTTTATTAAACCTCATGATATAATCTGCTATTTGTTGTTTTCTATAAGTTATCATTTCTTGTATATCAGAAACTTCTAATTGACTTTCTCTTAGGTTCTATTTAACAAAAATTTATTATGCTTGTATTACTCTCTACTTTATATAAGTTTAATGCAAAATACTTTTATTTTGAATGTTATATGAACTTCCTATTTTTATACTATAATAGATGTTTAAAATATTCAGTTAATTTAACTTCTTTTATATATGCTAATCAAAGATCAGCTTGATCAGAAGGATAGAGTATTAGAAAGCTCTTACATATATCAAAACATGTAAAAATATTAATAGATATTTCTTTGATCTCTAGCTATAATAATAAAGGATTATTACTTTGCATTTGATTGAGTATTTCATTTATAGTATTCTTATCTTATAAATTAATAAAAGTAAAAAACAAATATTTTTAATATATCTTTATATTTATTTTGATATCAATTTGATTTTCATCCGCTGATTGTTCTTCTTAAATTTATGGCAGTTTGTTAAATATAAAACCATTTTCAGATAGGAATTTGAGTATTTAATTATCTATTATTATATCCTAATAGTAAAGGTTATTTTTTTAATCATATTAATACTCTATATATTTTACTTCTTTGTATAGTAAAATCTTTGAATCTATTTGTATCATTTTCTAATTATTATCATATAATAAAAATATTTAGTGAAGTTGTATTTTGTAAAAGCCTATTTATAAATCTTTCTATATCCTGTAGAAAATTTATAATATAACCTCTATACCTATTTTAATCATTTTATAAATGATAAACTATTATTGTAAAGATTTGAGCTATAAGCATCTGTTTAATTTTATTAAGTCATTTAAGTTTATCTGATACCTTTTTTAGGTTTATGTTATTTTTAGCAGAAAATTTACAGGAACTTTTTTTTTCATTATAGTATTGTTTATACATCTTATGAGTTATTAGTATTACTAGTATTCTCTTGTTATATATATTGCAAAGATTGAATCTTAAATTATCCATCTTTTTCAGAAATCTTAAACATATTTTTTTATTGCTAATACTGGTAACTGATTGTGATTTAATATGTAATTCTGAGTCTGTATTCTCTTTTTGTTCTCTTTTGTTACTATTTTGTTCATCTTTATTGTAAGTTTCTTCTGATTCTAATTGCCGCCTTTATTCTTATGATTCATTAATATTCTGTTCTATTTATTTTATTATAATATTTAACATATCTAATTATATGTATCTTGATTATATTTATTTTTCCTATTTTGTCAATTTTCCCTTTCTCTATTAGTTTCTATAGCTTTTTTTCTTTTTTTCTCTCTATCGATCACCTTGAAGATGTTCCTGTCACTGTTGTCCCATTTCCTTTGATCTCTTTTAGCATTTTAATTCATGTTCTTATGTGAGTCTTTCAGTTTGTTGTTCATCTGTCTCTTGATTTTTTTTGTTTCACTTTCAAATAGTCTTTGTATTAATAGAATTGTTCATTTTATATCATTTTGATGTTCAGTTATATTTTTGCCTTTTTTATTCATTCGTGTTAGCAAGTTTATTCATTTTTAATATATCAATTGAAAAATTTTTTTCTTTAATGTTTAAATCATTCTAAATACATCCTTTACATATGAAATATTATCTAATCGTAAGTTTAATAATCAAACAATTGTAATTGATGTGATTAGCTATTTCTCAACGAAACAATATGAAATATATATATTATTTTGATAAATAAATCATTTTTTATTTGCCAATATTTGAGACATATTATCTAATTACCATCACACCCAAATTCTTATATAAGATACATGTCTTTTGATCATCTTGATCACGTGAAACGCTCCGGACTACATAACGGTTACCGTTTCCCTAGTATAAGTAATAAAAAGAAGATATAATATATATAATGAAAGGTAAACTATTTGATACATGTATTATAAAATAGATCAAACGATACGTGTTTAACATGTATCATTTTCATCATTTTCATGATATTTTCCGCAGTGTGAGGTCATCTGAGGCGCGAAGCTATTAAAGTTAATAGTCAAATATTAGATAAAATTTTCACATTAAGCAAAGAAAATTTGATGATGAAAAAAAAAGATAATGATGAAACAGAAGAAGGAAATGATGATTAAAGAAAATCCAAGTTTAATAAAATAATAAAGAGTTTTTAATTGATTAGAGAAACGAGTTATTAAGTGTATGCACGGATATAAAACTATAAATGGTTAATTTCATTTCGTGTAGATGATTTTCTAATAAGAAAGACTAAACTCTAATGAAATAAAAGTTTATTTAGCAAAATGTAAAACTCTAAGTAATTTAGTTGACGCTTATATTCATTACACATGGGTATAAATTCAAGGATGTCTAGAATGTTCTTGAACGATTTGTGTATTAAGTGTAAGCATGAGTATTAAGCTTCCTATGATTAATTCCTCCAAACTGAAATTCAATCCATATAACGATTCGTGTAAATGTCTTTTAATAAACGAGAAAACCTTAAAATAAATAAAAGATTAGATATTAATCCAAGGATGATTATAATGTCTTGAATAATTGGCACATTAAGTGTAAACATAAGTATGTAGATTACCAAAAATTAATAATTCCTGTAAACTGTAATCCAAACATATAAACGATCCTTTCATTGAAGAAGAAAATTGAAATTCTAATGAATATTTTAATTGATCAGAGAAACGTAAAACTCTAAGTAAAATCAGTGTTGCATGTTCTTTCAACAGGTTAGTTATATTACTTGTTTTGAATAATACAATCTGTCATTCACGTTAATATATCGTTAGAGCATAGTCGTGTTAATGTCGGTGTTGTATTTATAGGTTCGTCCAAGTGTGACACTATAATTATAAATTTTTATTCATGCATAAATTCGTGTTCTAAACTAATTCAAATTACCTGAGATTTATCCACTTGGGCTTAAATCTCTTGAGCTAATAAGCTTTATCCATATTATCATTTTCTATAAGATTCTTATTATTAATATTGTCATAAATGAAATGATAACTGCCTCCATTTAGTTGAATTCTTGCCATTTTCTTGCTTCTTAAGCTTCTCAATTAAATTTACGATTTTCAGAATGGACCTTCCAGAAATTTATAATGAAGGCCTCATAAAGGTTTCTTCATTTATAGCATAAATGTTTCAATATTAATGTCTTGATCTTGAAGTAGTTAATGTACTCTGCCCATGTTTATCTTTCAAATATGTAAAGAGAGTATTCGAATTCCACCGATTGACAAAATCAAACGAAGAATACAACATTGTTATCAAGATACTCTTTTTTTTTTGAAAAAGGTTTTATATTAATTTCGTGTAAACGACATCTCCGTAAATGGCATAATCTTTACACTATCTATTGTTAAAATCACGTGAGTGCAACAGTATATCAAACTGCTCTCCCGGAAAATTTGGCCGGAATTGTTTTCTGAAGTTAGGATAGTTAAGAAATTATCACATTGTGTCACATCCCGGCGTTCTTCATTTTACTAAGTATTTGGGGCAAATTTTTAATTTTTAATGTAATTGTCATAATTATAAATAAGTATATGTGCCATATTTTCGGGGTGACGCTATGACGGTTGCGAAATGTCCCGGAATCACTTGACTATATTTTTATCACCTCCACTTTATTAATTGGCTGGAAACTTTAATGTCGGTCATTTCGTGACATTCGTGAAAGTTACGCTGGGATAGTCATTTATGAACTTAAAGATCATGATAAAAAATTTATAGTTATTTACTTGAAAGTTATTTATTTTACAAAATAATTATAATAATTGTTCATTCGTGATTTTTTGTGAGGGATTGCTTGTTAACTAGATCAAAATATATCCCTTTTTTAGCAACTAAATCAAAATGCTTGCCCGATTCAACAACTTTGCCTTTTTTACAAACCAAAATTAAATCCGAATTTTGGATGGTAGATAATCGATGGGCTATCGTTATAGTGGTCCGATCTTTAGCGGCCTTATCAAGAGCATCTTGCACAACCTTTTCAGATTCGGAATCTAAGGCAGAAGTTGCCTCGTCCAATAATAACAGTTTGGGACGTCTAATTAAAGCTCTCGCAATGGCAATTCGTTGCTTTTGTCCGCCACTTAATTGAGCTCCTTTTTCACCAACTCTGGTATTGTATCTTTCCGGGAGCGTTTCAATAAAACTGTTTATATTAGCGTGTTTGGCAGCCGTTTCAATTTCATCCTGAGTGGCGCCATCTTTCCCATAAGCAATATTTTCTCCAATTGTCATATCAAATAAAATAGGTTCTTGTCCAACCAAAGAAAGATTTTCTCTTAAATACTCTAGGTCCCATTGCAATATATCAATATCTTCCATACGGACAACCCCTGAATTGGCGTTATAATAACGTAAAAGTAGTGAAATTACCGTAGATTTACCACTACCACTCGAGCCAACTATTGCTATTGTCTTATTAGAAGGTATTGACATTGATAGACCTCTTAGAATTTTTGAATCGGGACGTGCAGGATATGAGAAATGTACATCATCGAATTTAGATGATCCTGTTACTGGAGTTGGTCGATCATTTATACTATCCGGTGGAGAGGTGTTCGGTTTTCTATCAAGTAATTCAAATATCGAAAGTGCTGCTACCCTCGCTTTGGAAATACTTGGGACGAAAGAACTGATAAAAAAAAGTCGGTTTTTTTTTATGTTATTTTTTTTTTAGTATTCAATATATATATATGTATATTTATATATTTTTTTTTAAAAAATAAAAAAAGTGAAAAAGATACCTTATTTGACCAACTGCGGTTGAGGTGAAGGTTATCACAAAGAATACGCTGAACATTCTCTTTATTGTATATTCTTGACTTTTAACTAATTCGGATCCGTACCAGAAAGTAAGACAGTAAAAGAAATATATCATTCCTTGTGAGAGTCCAAACCCTAATGCTGCAATCATAGTTCCTTTTATAGCAGTTTTATGTGGTTCTGATATTGATTCGTGATATAACTTGTAGAATGTATCTTCCAACGAGAGAGATGCTATCGTACGAATATTAGAAACACTTTGATGGACTATATGTCCTGTCCCTTCGTATGCTTTGAGAGTCTGAAGATACGTGCGTTTGTTCGTTAGTGAAAAATATTACTGAACTTTATAAAAAGAGGTTAAGTAATCTAGTATTTAATTACCTTGGAACCGTATCCGGAGAGAGATTTTAATTTAGCGTATTGTGCAATTACAATAATAGGAGCCGCAGAAATTACGACCAAGGTTAATTTCCAACCATAAAAAAACGCGATCCCCAGACCAATACAAATGGTGACTGTCGTCTGTATGATATTACCCATAAGCGAACCAGTAAGCCCCTCAATCTTTGTAGCATCAACCGCCAATCTAGAAGTTAAAATACCAACACTATTATTTTCATCATCATAAAATGCCACTTCTTGTTTCATTAAATGATCAAACGTCTTTAATCTAATACGTTTAGTTAATCTTTCTGAACTTAACATAAAGGAAGTAGTTTTGGCAAATCCTGCAAAAAAGGTGACTAATGCAATAATTGCAAATATTCCGGAGTAGAAGTTGGCATCACTTTCCAGCTCTTTAGGACGATCTACTTTGGCCAATGAATCCAATAATGATGAAAATAATATAGCAAATACTGGAAAAATGCTACCATCGATTGCTGATGCGATTGCCCCGATCGTTATTAATACAAATTCTGGTTTGTTTAATTGAAATAACCTTGAAAATGGCGTCTTTGTTCCTTTAAATTTTTCTTCAATTAATTTTTCTTCCTCTTCTTTTATTGATTTAATAGATTTTATCGTAGATTCTCTCGTAAGAGCTCTTCTTAATTGCGTCGATTTATTTTCTTGTTCATCAAAAGGAATGACCACATCATTTCTAGTTTGTGTAAAACTACTTGAACTGCTTGAATCATCGTCATCATCATCATCTTCTTCTACATCTTTTTTCTTTCGAGTTTTTAGTTCTTGAGCCTGCACAAGTCCATAATAAACACCCTTTTGAGTAATTAATTCGTCGTGTTTACCAACTTCTTTAATTTCACCCTTATGCATTACGATAATTTTATCAGCATTTTTGATGGTAGATAACCTATGAGCTATGACAATTGTTGTCCTATTGGAGGATGCATTGTCTAATGCGTCTTGAACAAGACTTTCGGACTCCGTATCTAATGCAGAAGTGGCTTCATCCAACAATAATATCGGTGGATCTTTTATAAGTGCTCTTGCAATAGCAATTCTTTGTTTTTGTCCTCCTGATAATAATGCACCTTTATCACCCACCGGAGTATCATATTTCTTTGGTAAATCTTCAATGAATTCATGTGCGTTAGCCTTTTTGCACGCTTCTTTAATCTTCTCAATATCAACTTCACTACCATCCTCCGAGACTTTTCCCCATGCAATATTTTGCCTAATGGTGTTTTGAAATAAAACCGGCTCTTGTCCAACCAATCCGATAAGTCCTCTAAGAGATTTCAAATTCCAATCTTTTAATGGTACCCCATCGATAAGGATCTCTCCTTCGACGGGATCATAAAACCTTTCTAATAATCCAACTATCGTAGATTTTCCACTACCACTTGAACCTACTAATGCTACCGTTTGATTTGGCTCGATTATTGTTGAGAAACCTTTTAATACTGGTACATCAGGACGAGATGGGTAATGAAATGAGATGTTCTTAAATTCGATGCGTCCTTCAAATTTAGAGGAAGGAGAAGTTTTTTGACCAGTGGTGGAGGTTACGTCTATCAAAGGTTTACGGTCTATGGTTGTAAATAATTTTTTAGCCGATCCTAACGATGCCGCTACGCTACTAAAATGTGGTGAAGCGTTTCCTATTGAAAAACCTACGAAGGAAGGAAAAAGAAAAAAAAAAATAATAATAATAAAATTAATATAACTTTTTTTTTTTTTTAAAAAAAAAAAATAATAATAATAACTTTAACATACCCCCGATTACAACGGCCAAGAAAGCGCCTAAAATATTACCACTGGATTTTGATCCATTTAAAATTTGCTTACTTCCGTACCAAAATGCCAAGGAATAAGAACAAAATATAATAAACATCATTGAACTTAATCCAATGCCACTTATTACTGCCTTCCTTTTTCCCGCTTTATACACTAATTCTAATTTTGCTGAATATCTAGCGAATTCGCGTGGTTGACCTCCAAATGCTAACACTGTGCGAATGTTAGAAAAGACTTGTTCGGCTAATGATCCTGCTGCTGCGTATGCATCTTTTTTTTTTTAAAAAAAAAAAAAAAACAAAAAAAAAGAGTCAATGATAAAGTTGGAGATGGAATGAAAATAAACTGTAAATATAATATTTATACATATAAAAGCTCACCTTGACCCTTTGATGTATCACCACTAACGGATTTTGCCATAATAGCTCCAGCGGCAATCAGTAAAGGAAATACGGAACACAATACAAGCGTTAATTGCCAGCCTATATTATGCATACATATGTTATTTAAGTAAATAAAAAAATAAAAAAATTCATACACTTATTATGTGTGTGTATATATTACTTACTTTCGAAAAAGGCGACAATGAAACCACCAAAAAATGTAGCAGCATTTTGTAAAATCAAACCCACTTTCTCGGATATCCCTTCTTGATAAATATAAGTATCATTTGATATACGTGTTGTTAGTTCCCCTGATTGTGTACTATCAAAATATGCTATTTCTTGTTTTAATAGAGATGAATAATATAATCTGCGAACTTTCTATTAAACATAACATAATGCGAAAAGGTACAAATAAAAAAAAAAAATTTAAAAATTTAAATAAACGTTAAAAGGAATTAACTAACGTTTTGAAAATTTAATATACATACGTCTGCTTGATTTGCACCGGCAATTGACCAAGTGGTCATTTGAATATAACTAACGACAAAAATCGAAGCACCCAGGATCATAAAATAATAAACGTGTCGACGAATATCTGAATTCAATTCATTTTTAGCTTCATCAAATTGTGCTTCATCTTGAGTAGAATTATAAATTGATACGGCCAAGGAGAATCTTGAAAAGACGTTAATAAATCCTGAAAAGATGACAGCCGTGAGAGGTATAGCAATACCATTACCAAATGCTGCTATTGTACCTATGAATATATAAAATTTATCGAGGGGCGTAGCAAATCTAAATATTTGACTCACGGGAATGGCATTATTTTCCTCGGGTGGTTTTTTAACTTTTTTCTTCTTTCCCTTTTTATTTCCTGCGGAGGATTTCTCGTTGACGTCATCTTCTTGTTCAACGAAAGATTCTGAATTATGTTGCGGAGGAAGTTGGTCAACAATTGAGAAATCTATATTTTCTCCTTTTTCTCCATTGCCTAGGACGATGTTAGGGATTGTGGTGTTATTATTATTTTCCTGTTCTGGAACCGACATGTTTCAAAATTGTATGTTAATAAAGATGCCTTTATTATTAAATTTTTTCTTCCTTTGAATTTTTACGATGATAATAATTAGCGAATAATTCAAATATTGATCATAGGGAATTCTTGTTTTACCGCGTAAAAAAAAGCAAATGAACCATCTCTTATTTATAAAAAAAAAAAAAAAATTTGAGACAATAGTTAAATAATAAAGTTTTACGTTATCTGTTATGATTATGCAATGAGAATCTTATTCTACTAAATGCTTATCAGGAATTTATTTTTCACCAAATGAATTAAAATTTTTGGAGCGTAATGATATTCTATTTTTTGGAGATTTGCGGGCGATCAATTACTATTGAGCATTAATGATTTTCTTAATTATGGTAAACACAAACAATAAGTTTGTTGATTATCAAAATAAAATTCATTGTACAATGTCAAAGGTAACGTAATACGGCTAGCAATCAATAAATAAAAAAATGAATTGGAACATTCTGGATGAGGTAATCCGCAGTAACGATTAACACCTGTACGTGTTTTAAGGATCATAACTAGTTTTTTTTGTTTCCATTTCGTACACTTGAAAAATGTCGTAAAACGTAGATTCACGAGATAATTACGAAAAAAAAGGAAAATTCAATGAAGAGCGTTGTATTGAAGATAATATCTAATTTAGCTTTTAGACATATTTGTTAATAAATTATAATGCAAAATGTCAAGTTCAAATGAGGTTGTTAAAATATTATATAAGAAATTATCCTGATATATATATATATAGATTTTATTTAGTGAAACCAATAAACAGAAAAGGCGTTTAAAACTTATGAATAAAGTTGAAAATAAATATTGTCAAGCCGGAACATTATTTCATAATCTTTTGTTGAGATTAGTGATATTATTAGCCTATCGACTTTGTAGGAAAAAAAAAAAAGCGAATTTTGATACAATATCAGAATCTCTCTACAAAATAAAGGTTTAACCTAATGGAAGTTTAATTCCGACAAAAACTCATCGGACAATTTCGACTAGAATGTTCGATTATTTCTATTTACATTTTACTACATTTATTAAATTTAGACAAAACTTTGTTTATTTAATAAGATAGTTAATTTCAAATAACTTTAAAAGGGAATAACGACGACACTCTGTGTATATTTATATTATTTCTTCTGCTGCATAAAAGATATAATAAAACCACTTCACCCGAAAAGCCGGTGTTTTCGATTAATTATAATCTATAAGATTATTAGTTTTAGAAGTAAGTAACAATAATTTTTGGAAATCAGAGTAGAGTTGGATATATAACCTTCTTTTAAGGATCCCATTCGCATTGACAGATTAATTAAACAAGTGAGGTTATTGTTTCAACCTACCTATAAGCAGGGTTGGAAAATTTGTATGTACTAGGCAAATTTGACCTTGTACTTGTACTGTACTGTACTAAATTTTATATTAATTATTATGTGTACTAACTGTAATAAACTGTACTAACTGTACTAATTTCCCAACCCTGCCTATAAGTACGATTAGATTTATTTTTTTTAAAAAAAAAAATCCAAAACGTAAGTGGGATCGACAATATTATTGATGACGTGCAAAATGAATTAATCGGAGAAAAATTGAATATTTCCTGTATATGCCTAGAGAACTTTCTTAAGAACATTTACACGATTTTAATTCGTTATCCTTTAACAGGAACTATTACTGTATTAAAAAGAACATTCAATTCTTTTTTTAATAATACTGTATATTTAAATTTACATTTACGTATTATTCACTACCAGAGTATTAAAACATCAGTTCTATCCCAATAATTCAAAAATTATTTGTGATATAAGCTTGATAGGATAGATTCCTATATGTTTGCAAATATTTCGAATGTTTTGTTCCGCATTTAAAACACGTTCCATAGAGTCAAATAAGCACTTTGAGAGCATATACTATGCTGATTACTTGAATTAGGAGAATCTTCGAATTTGGAAAAGAAAATGTTTGTCTTAATTAGTCCATGAGAAGAATGAGATCATGACAACCGTGAGAAATACTAAACTTATTACTTAGTAATTGTCAACATAACCTTGTTTACCAGTAACTTGATCTTGCAAAAGCGTAACCCAAATATTTTAATGTCCGATATGCGCATTTCGGATATCCCAAATCGGAATGTTATATATTTGTACCAAATGATCACTTGGAATATCCAATTGAACACTGCGGATAATATCCCAAATGAATACTTTGGATATACTCACTTAAGATACCCCAGATGACCACTTCGGATATCCAAAATGATCACTTTAACTCAAGTTTATTAAATTGCAACTTTTAAATTTCTCGTTTAATTTATTTGAAAAATACGTGTAAAAATAAAAGGTTTTAAAACACTTATAATTATAAATTTTATCTATATTTAAATTGTAAAAAAAATAAAATATATATGTATGTAAAAAAAAAAAAAAAAAACTTTGCGGCCAATTGGGAATACAGCTCACCCTATCTATAACGAATCTTGTGTACCTGAAGTCACGCTTCGCTATAGAAAGGGAATTCTCTAACTGTACATAACGAATGAAGATAAGATTTTCTTTATATCAAAAAATCATAATAATCATTTTTTATTTATTTAAAAAACAAATCCATATATTAATAAAAAAGTAACAAAAATTAAATTTCAATGTTTTTTATTCTTTATAAGTGCGAATACGTAATCATACATAATAATCAAAATAATAAATCATGATTTTATTTTCCTTAGGCAAATTCAATATAATTACGCGTGATCAAATTCGTCAATTAACAGTGCATTGTAAACTTTAAAAAGTAAAAATATTCGCTATATTAAGGGTCATTAATTATGCTTGTTCCAATATTTAAATTCTACATTAATATTTACTTTAAAAGTCGGTATATTCGTTATTCGCTATAAAATAATTCGCTATAGAAAAGGTGAACTGGTATCCCTATTGCGCGCGTTCCGATTTGGGATATTCGAAATGCACAATAACATAATGAAGTGACTTTGGAAGATGGATAAAATCTGCTTATGAATAATATTCCAATTAATAGTATTCCATATATGAGCATTTTGTGACATTTTCATAATTATCTACAGCGACAAAATGAACAAATATTCCAAATATGTTTACAGTCATTTATATATAAGTTTAAAGGATAATTAATTAAAACTTAATTAATTTATTTTTTAAAGTGAAAGTGATACTGGTCTTACTGATATATAAGACGAATATTAGATTAACCTTGAATGTCATTTTGAGAAACGTAGTTGCTGATTTATAATATAATTCTAGACAAATCGCTGTAAATGTTTACAGCTTCAAGCTGATTTTTAAAAGTATCAAAGAGAGTAGCATTAATTGTATTATCATTAAATGATTGATGTGTTCTTAATTTGCATTAATAAACTTTCTACTTTTTTTCTTTTTAAAAAAAAATCTTTCACTAATAATTGATCAAGAGAAAATTGCTTCGAATGATAATAACAGTCAATTAAGTAATTCAATGATTACCAGAAAATGGTCCTTGATACTGTACCTACATTTATAAATTAAACGTTAATTGCGGGTAAAGATATAATTTTGGCCAGAATTAAAATTACTCCAAAATTTAAAATGCGTGCCCGTTTTAAGTTTTTAGATGCTGGAAATTTATTATTGCTTTTTTTTTTTTACATTTATTATTTTATTAAAAACAAATATTAAATATTAGAACAAGAAAAGTTCTATATAATTACAGTCAATGTTATTAATACATCTATTTATCGACCAAGTGTTTTAAGCAAAGCTTTCTTAATTTCAGGCAAGTTATACTCGTATAATCTACATGGAAAACATTTAATTTTCAAACAGATGCTTTAAATGGAAAGTTTTCATGTATTAGTAAAATAAAACAAAAATGTTAACTTTAATTGAGAAGTAATTATCTTAAATTCTTATGTTGTTACCTTACATATGGAATTAATTAAAAAGAAATTTTTACACATAGATTTATTAATGAACGTAGTTTTAAGATTCTGAGTTCAAATCTGAGTACAGCATTTTATACATATAATAATTATAAGTACATTTTGACTGAAAGACCGATTTAACATTCCTTCTTGGTCGTAACTTCTATATCCAATGACTGACAATTAAAAAATTTGGGTAATCTTACTGAGTCTATGGCTCCGGGAAGATACTTACAGTACATTTGATTGGGTTCATTAATGAGAAAAGCATTATATGTTGATAAGTTGAAACGTCAAAAAGAATGTTAGATTTCTTATATTGAGAACATAATTGAATTCATTAAAAAACACCGTTTTTTTTATTGGCTAATTTAAAGCAGTAATGATGAGAATTTAACTTGGAAAAATTGTTAAAATTCAAACTTCATTAGTTAAAGATTGTTTCAACTTCAAAAAACAATAATCAGCCTAATTTCTAAAGCAGTGCGTACCCGAGTTATACGTACGGAGATGCGTGAAGGTCCATATATGGTATTAAAGTTCAGCCGATAGGGGTTTTAACAGGCCGAAATTTTTTTGCCATTACCGGATGTGGATAATTATATATTAGTCCTAATGGCCTAGGATAATTATGGATGGACGTAGGTCAATATTTTTATAATAATATCGTTATCCTTGAGTTCGCATATGGTTAAATTTGTCCCTCTGTTTTTCCATTTACTTTTTCCTTTAAATACAAAATAGTTGCATATCTTGTGAAAATCAATGTCGGCGGCACATGCTGTGTAATCAACTTATAAATCTTTTTGTTCAAAAAATCATGATGATCCACTAACAATAAAGAACTTATTTGCATAATGTAACGCTACGCTAGATTATCCATAATAAGATTAAGTTATACATGTCAAACTGTGCATAAAAGTTTAATATTGAATGATATTATTAACTGGTAAAATAACATTTATTTATTAAGTGATTAAGTGATTGATGGGTAAAATAAATAAATTAAATAAGTTAGGTTTCTTATTTAAGGCTTAAGAAAAGGTAAAATTGTTTTCGATGAAACATTGTAACTAAACCACATTCCCTCTTTCAAATTATAAACATGTTTGTCGTATGATCAAAAAAAAAAGATCGTCTTGGCGAACATGTGGCGCAGTAAACTTGCTCTTTGATATTTCACATTTCCTCGTCCTAAAGTAATAAATAATATAAAGAACAGGAAATCTATTGTATTTCCAAAAATTTTGTAAACGTTTTTATTTTTTTTTTGCAAAGTAAAAAGTTCATTTACACTTTACTACACTTTTAACGTACGGAAAAAACGGGAGAATGGAACACCTCCTTTTAGAATCATTAATAGGAATTAATTGTTCGAGTACAGGATCCATTATATATCGCATCGCTATGTTATTTTTATATCATATTATAATCTCGTACGTTTTAGACCGATTATTCTACCGACACTACTCTTGGACTTTAATAGACTAACAACTATGACTAATCCCATTTATATATTGATTTTTTCGCTTATCGTGTATACGAATAAAGAATCAAGAATCTTTAATGACTCTTTATATTGTGAAAATTCATTGTTAACGTTATACATAACAAAGGTTATAACTTATGATTTTTGCTTCAATCTTTTTTTGTTTAAAAATCAGCACGTATTCTTTAAACTTTGTGCTGAAAAAAAAAAAAAACATGTTTGCCTTATATTTTTGAGTACTAAAAAAACAAAATTCATTATTATTATTGTGTACTTTCATCTATTCATAGTTTAAATTTTTTGATGTCATTCAACAGATCTATTTCGTCAAAATAAAAATATGGACCTTTCAAAACTCAAGAGAAACTTTTAATATAAATTTGTTTGATTAATAAAATTTTTAACAATTTAATAATCGTCTGAAATCTTTAAAAAAAAAAAAAAATTATTATTAAAATTTATTAAATGATTAAATTATTAAGGAATGATCAAAATGATCATTACGATCATTACGCTACGCAAACCAATCATTTTACATTATTGTTACACAGTAAACAGTTGCATGATGTTTAATAGTCTTTCCTTATTTGGTATTATTGCTCCCCTTTTTGATGCGCCATTACGCAAAATGGGTTTGGCTGATTTTTTTTCTTTCTTTCCTGTAATTTCACTGTGGTCAAAAGTCATTTTGTTGTTGTTTTGACTTTTTTTTTTTTAAAAAAAAAAATTTTTTTCATTTGGTTCCTTATAGGTATGAAAATATTTTTTAAAAAAACTATTCTTTATCTTTTTGGTCCCTTTTCGTTTGAATCTTATTTAATAAAAATTTTTATTTTATAATTTTTTTTTTTTAATCATTTTTAACAAAGTCGTCAAAAAATAAAGTGTAAACTTACTTAAAGTGTAAATAAAGATAAAGAATGATGTTGGATGAAAATGATGGTTCCGATATGGAGTTGGACTCCGATACGTCTCTCGACGCATATCATATTTACAGTAATGTTTCTACTAAAAATCAGTGTTCAAAGACACAAACTTCTCAAAATTCGGACCGGGACAATGATAAGTCATCTGATAGAGAACAATTAAAAATTTCGCAATCATCACCTTCTCGACGTGGGGAAGCTTCTTATTACGGAAACGATCGCATTAAGCATTCCGGTAATAGGTCTCATTTTAATTCTTTCCAAGGTGCTTTTGTTGCTTTGCCTTATCATTTAATTAATTTACAAGGAATTTTATACTTTTAGGTTACCTTATGAATAACCCTCCAAAATCTTATAAATCTCCGAGTAAATCACTCACAACTGTTAACGTTAGTAACGGTCAAAGACCGATAGAGAGGCGCGAAAGAATTAAATTTGAATTGAAGAGCACTGGATATAAAAATAAATTGCAATCTACTAATTCTAACATGTCAATAAAAAATAATTCTGACGCGAGTAGAAATAAAAAGGATTACGTGAGGGAGACACAATTGTCTCCTCTTATGAATAAATCTTTATTGTCATCTGTAACATCGTATCCTTCATATAATGTGACCAAAAAAATCGATCCACCGACTTCATCAGCGTTAAAACATGGTATGTTCAAAAATATTTTTACTTTGCCATTTTTTCAAATTTCATTACTAATTTTAATATTTTTCCTAAATAGTAAAAGATGATTCAGTGCGCAAGTATGATGATAAAAGTGCAACTGAAAGTAATTTTAAGGATCGAGCCACGAGGAATCTCGTAACCGTAGGAAAAGGATCTGATCATTCATTTGAAAAAATCGGTAATAAAAGTCTTTCATTAGTTGAAAAAGGTTCCTCAACTATGATGAAAGGCAATGCAGGATTGATCGTGGAAAATTCAATGAGTATAGAAAAAGGTATTAATCAAAAAGTTAATGATTTTACCACTTCGAAGCTGGTCGTAAAAAATCCTTTAACTGCAATAAGAGGTAATGACCAATCGCAAAAACAAGAAGCTGACGAAAATTCTGTCATTTTAGAAAAATTTCCGAGTCAAGTGGAAAGCCAGACCGTTAATGACGACAAACCCAAAGCACAAGAGTCAAGTTCAAAAGTTGTGCAAAAGGAACAAACTGAGAAGAAACGTCAAATTACGGAATTGCCAATCGCGAATGATAAAATTATCAAGAACGATGTAACTAGTAAAAACTCTGGAGATGATAAAAATAATAAGATCAATGAGGTAATCGTATTGTCTGATCAAGATCACCATCCCAAAGATGATATCATTATCGAGATAAGTGGAGACAGCGCATCATCTGGAAACGAGATTGATGAAAGCGATAAATCTGAGACCAATAATTCTCTGGAGAAAGGTAAATCTAAATCTAAAGGCAAACAAATGGCTACGCCTGCAAATCAAACATCATCTCCAAGCAAAACTGAAGTAGCCAGCAAAGTATTTGAAAATATTTGTCACTTGGACCATCTTGCTGATCTGATGACAAATTTGACAGACAAGATAAGTAAAAATTCTCAAATGGTTCAACCAATTAGTCAAGATACGCAACATTCTAGCCAGGAAACTCGGCCCATTAACCAGGATACGCAACTGGCTAAACATTTGGATCAACCAAATGGGCAAGCAAATCAAGAAGAGTCAACACAATCTACTATTCAAGGATCCCAACCTGATGAAGAAATCACCCCTTCAGAGCTATCAAACGAGATAATTGAAAAATATCGCGAAGTATGTGATTATTTCTTTTTTGATAAGATTTTTGATGCCACCTCCATGATTCATCATAATTATGAGCTATAAATGAACTAATTAAATTTGTTTTAAAAGTTGGATAATACTCTATCAGAATTCGATAAGATAGCAAAAAAAGCGGTTAGTGCGTATGGGGAATTAAATAAATTATTACCAGAGGGAACTATGGTTAAGATAGATCCTCCTTCCACCTATAAATGGGATATAATAGCTAGTATGCTTGGTATTGCTGATATTAATAAGATAAAGATCAATCAAGTGGGATCGGATACGGAAGGTAAGCAAATCTGTACTTGATGAAATATTTTTATTTTATAAAATGTTAATGCTTTTTTCTACGATAGATCATAAGAAAAATTCTATGGAAGATGAACAAAAAGATGTAAAGAATGAATCCAATGTGGTGATGGAGATTTCATCTGAAGCAGAATTCGACGAAGAAGAATTAGATGTGCTATCGGATGATCCAGATGATAAGAACTTTAAGTGCAGGTCGACAATCTTGAGATATCCGAATCCAAAAAGGTGGCATAACACAAGAAGTAACAGACCGCCTAGTGCTAATCTTCGCCAACGTACACGAGTTGTTTCTGACTCTTTTAATATTCCGACTGCATCCATTACACATAACAGCCCTTCAAAGAAAAAACTGTCTCATCCTACCCCCAAAAGATCTTTAAGAGCAAGAAAAGCCGAAAATGAAGAAGAAGATACCCCAACTCCAACCCCGAATTCTGATAAAGTTTATGAAGATGGAAGACCAAGAAGGCCTGGTAATGGTTTTAGTTACTTTTGTGGCGATATATGTGCAAAAGTAAGGAATGAAAAATTGAATATCAGTGGTACAATAGCATATGCTGCCGAAATATGGAAAAAAATGTCAGCTGAGGAGAAACAAGTAAGTGATTTGGATTAAATTATTATAAAAATTGATTTACATATTTTAACGCCTCTTTTTTATTTATAAATATAGCCTTGGTTAGATAGAGGTGCAAAGTCGAAAATTGAGTATCAAGAGCAAATAACTAAATGGAAGGAACAGCAAACACCTAATAATACAAAAAAGAGGAAGGGTTCTTCAAAACATGGCTCGTCTTCTAAAAGACCTCGTAATGATTGATTACGATTACACAGTAAGGTAATAGTATATTAGAAATTGTTTAATTGAAACGTTTTGGCTAAGAAATGTATATAGTACTTTGTTGATTTAGTTGTTGTAAGCTATGAAATTTTGAATGATATTAAAGACCCTCATTTCATCTTTATAAACAATAATTTCGAGATAATATTAATTTCGCCGCCGCCATAGAAATATGCTTGGTAATTATATTGTAATATTTCTATCAAAAAAAAAAGTTTTATTATTTTTAAGTTTTTTGTTGAATGGTCTTTAGGGATTATCGATAATGTTTTGCTAAGGAAATAACTAATATAAACGCCGTGATAAAAAAAGTACGTTTAAATAGATCACGTGTTACCGACAATAAAAAAACTTTTCTAAGTAATCATTTTTTTCTCTTCACTCTAAAAAATTTACATAATTTATTTATATCGCCCTAAGCTTCTAAATATCCCACATTTACAATCTAAAATATAGAAATTTAAAAACAATTTCATTTATCAAAATAACAAAATATAGAAACAAAAAGTCGGCTTAATATTTAAAAACTTTCGAAAAAATACATGAAGTTACGAAAATATAAAGATACAATGTTTAGTGAACTTTATTTTAGTTAGCTCTGATAAAATTTTAATTAGTAACTTTTTATATTAATAGTTAAAAAGTTTCTTAGTAAATCCATTTATTGATGTAATTTCCAGTACGATTTTATGATATATCCCAGATATAGCGAAATATTGAAAAATTCAACTGCGAAAGTAAATCTAGTTAAATATCGATGTGAGGCGAACAATAAGTAAACGTGAGGAATATTTTCGTATCTCATGTTCGGTTATGTTTTGAATAACAGGATAAAAATTTTAGAATATCAGACATGAAAAATTTTACTTGTGAAAAACAGGGTAACATAGGAATTTGGAAATAAATATTTTCTTCCTTTCTATTTGACAAACGTTCCTAACAATACCTCGCTCAGGTGTTTTTTAGATTATTAATAAGTTTACAACAACTTTAGGATAATGAAAACAAATTATTTGATTCATTTATGAAATCGATCAGATTATAAAATATCAATAAAATGAAAGTATTAATTAATCTCTTAATGAAATGAAAATTTTCAAAATATTCAACGCTTTTTATTACTTGAAAATCAAATTAATTAATATAAATGAATGCTGGATTTTGAAATCTAATTTAACGAAATAATTATTTTTGCAAATAAATAAAATTCAAATATTTGAAATTATATAATTATTCAAAAAATCATCAAATATCGAAAATCAAAAATTAATAATAACTGAACCTGAGAATTAAAAAAAAAAAAAAATAACTAGATTAGGTCGTTGTGCGGCGACTTTGCACTTTATTAAGTTATAAATTAGGGGTGTACTAAATGATACAAAATTTTCATTTTAAGAATGTTAGTATATTTGTATTCAAATCGGTTATTAATAAATGTCGTTCTTTAATTTTTTTT